TCACGCCCCGCGTCCAGCCTCCGCCTGCAGCGCCCTGACCTTGGCTGGACGCTGCCCGTGGGGACGGCAGAACAAGGCGTGTTCTTCCAGCGTGATAAAGATCTACTTTTTCTGAGTATGCTTTTTTTTTATTATGTTCTGACATTTTCTTTAATTCTGCATTTTGGGTATTTATAGCAGATGCTAGGTCTAAAGCACTGTTTTCACCTCGGAATCCCTCTCTAAACTGACACGGTGTCGAACTGATTCGACACATTCTGTTCCCAACCGCGTGGGCACGATTCCAGCTTCTCCTCTAAGGAGGGGGAGGTAACACGGCATTTACAGCCCTGTGCCCGGGGGCAGAATTACCTGCAGCGTGTCTCTATGAACTATAAGTGAACACAGGGGGTCAATAAACACCCCCCCCTCCATGTCCTACTGATGCACCTGGCAACTTCTGTAGGTCTCCAGGCGAGTATTCAGGGGTCTGTACTAATAATTCCCAAAGTTAGACTGGGAGCGGGTGTTTCTGGCCCCAGCCCTCAGTGCTCACACGCCGACTCCAGCATGGCTCCCTCCTGCAGAAGGGCCGCGCAATCGGCTTCTCGGGGGCTCCCGGGAAAGGCTTCCCAGCACCCTTAGCCAGGGAGGTTCATCGCCACCTACAGAGCCGGAACACCTCCGGGGGGCTACGGGGGCAAGGGAAATGGGGTGCAAAGTCTACACAGACGTTCTTATCCATTGAAAAAGCTCATTCTGGCTCAACCGGCAAGCAAGCAGCAGTGGTCCCTAGCAGCTGCCGGCAGCTGAAAAGGCAGAAGGAAAGGCGCAGTTATCCCGGGACTGACCTATGCACACATTTTCATCGTCCAGCTCTGCAGAAGCATTTCTGAAGTAGCCCAGCCTGCATAACTCACAGTGCTGACCTCTAGTGTTGTGCTTACAGCTCACGCAAATGACCGTATTGAGCAGCTCGATGTAACTGCACCGGTTGGAGTGCCCGAAGCATTCGCAGTCTTTCAAGGAAGAACAGAAATGTATACAAAACGTATACGGCAGCAGTAATAGCACATTACATGCTCAGTAAAAACGAACCACGAACAGAAGGATGGATGAATGGCACACACACGTTAATCGATGTAACATGGACAACAGCAGATGTTTATCTGCAATGGAAGTGAAGTTTGCTTCAGGCAGGTTAGCGTGACCCGACGGGATGGCACGACGCCGAAGGCTGGCTGTTGCTGGCAGACCTGATGGAACTGAAGCATTTGCAGGTGTAAACCTTTCAGGGGTACTGGAGGCTCAGCTTCCGCTGATAGAAATGCTCATCTTTTTCCACATTTGAGATGAGTGTAAACCAAGACATAGGGAAAACTTCCTCGTATTAAAAAGATGTTAAATAGAGCGGGCAAAATTGTCAAACTTCATCATGCTTAAGTCCATAACTGCAAGTGAGTAAGAGCTTTGTTCTGACCTAAGTGGTGAGCATTGCAGAGTGCTACTGAGCTGTACCTGGCAGGCACCTCGGGAACCAGCCTGCTTTATTTCAAGGCCAAACAAATCACCAGTTTGACAATTTGGCCAGCACCTCCTAAGACAATTAACGGAGAAGGAAAGGAAAGAAGAGAGGTGTTATCTAAGAGCTACTGCTACGCACGTCTGAGGTAAGCATTGACCCGATTTTATATGCCGAGATGAAAAACAACTGGGCCAGGAAAGGTGGTGGCAGCTCTGAAACGTGTAGTGCACAGAAGGCGCTGAGTGCGGCCTCCTGGCGCGCAGCTGGGGTGGCAGGCGCGTTTCAAAACCCCCTCCGTTAAACGCGGATTGCTAGTGCCCTTTTGTCTTTAATCACGAGCAGTGTTGGCTTCATGCAGGAAGAAGCAGAGATTAGAAATGTATGGGTATCGCGACAGAAGGGACAGCTACGCCTTGTGCAAGTCTGAGCGCTCAACTCCGAGATCGCGAGCCCAGAATGAATGCAGGAAGGTTATTAGGATGACCAGAGACGTAGAGAGCCTGTTTAGGAAGTGAAGACAAGGATAATCTGGCTTGTTTGACCCAGGAAACTGAAGACGAGGACATCACTGGGCTATAAATACATCAAGGAGACAGCCTTTTGCCACCCTAAGTTAATATCTGTGCTAATTGGCAGCACTGGTGCAAGAACAAATGGGTGTTAACTGGCCACTGAGAAATGTCAGCTGGAAATTAGGAGATGGTACCTAGCCCTTAGCCACCGAGGCTCTCCAACACCCTTCCAATTCGTAGCAAAACCCCCTGCTGCTTAGAGATGCAGTTTATTAACTGGTGAAGAAGATGAGGGTACGTGGCCTGCAGTGATGGAGTACTGGATGCAGCGACTTGGAAGGGCTTTGAGGTCTTGAAGTTACCTTAGCCTGTAATTAGATAAAACTCTAGCAGAGGGTGGAGGATGTTCCCATACACGCCAGGGGCCAAGCCCCCTGTGCTGCCCTTCTCTGGCAGCTGCTGGTGATGCCAGGGCACTAACGAGCCCGCTGGCCCTTGGCATAGGGGGGCAGATGCAGTATCTGTGCCTGTCTGTATTTTTATAAAGAAATAGCAATACTGGTACACTTTTTAAGGGTATGTTATGCACACCTAATACATACATGGTGGGGGTCGGGCTCTGCTCCTTGGTAACGGGCGATGGGACGAGGGGCACCGGCCTCAAGCTGTGCCAGGGCAGGGTGAGGTTGGGCATGGGGAACAATTCCTTCCCCTTGGGGCTGTCAGGGGCTGGAAGGGGCTGCCCAGGGAAGGGGTCGAGTCCCCAGCCCTGGGGGGATTTAACAGCCGGGCAGAGGCGGTGCTGAGGGCCAGGGTAGGCGGGCGGTTGGGCTGGGGGAGCTCCAAGGGCTTTGCCAACCTAAACAATTCTGTGATTCTATGGTTCTAGGATTCTATGAATCTATATTTCTCTGGCTGTTGTCTGATGAAGAGGACTGTAAATAGGTAGCATCTTTCTTTACACGGTACACCACTTAGCACCACACGTTTCAATGTTGAGAGCTGCCTTTCTGCTGCCAGGGAACACTAACTCGGCTCACATCTGCACACTCAGCTAGCATACTGCGTTCTTGTTTTCTTCAACGTTCTGCGGCTAAGCCCATGTTCTGTGCTTGGCGCCCACCCGGTAATTTCGACGCCCGCAGCCGCTGGCGCGCAGCAGAACATTGGGTGCATCGCCCTGGTGGTTCCCACTGCACTAACGGAGGGGGGGCCGAAAGGCGTTGATGTTCGCTGTGCCCTGCAGTGGGGTGCATGCTTCGGCGCCCCAGCCAGCCCCCCGGCAGCATCTCTCCCCGAGGGCGCCCGTCTGGCTGGAGCGGAAACCGCTCTGGAACTGGAAACCAGCGCAAGAGTCACGGGGAAAAGCGTTGTGATGGTCAGCTGCTGTGTGTTTGACCTTTGCAGGAAGACAGGGGGCGGGTGGTAAGCAGCCTGACCCTCCTGCCTCTCGCATTCGCTGCCGTAGCCCCTCCGCCCGACAGAGGCCCTCCCTTCTGCTCCCATGGGACACCTTGCTTTGGTGAGACGATACCTGTGCCGGCTGCTCGTTGTGGCTACACAGAATCACACTGCAGGTGAATTCAGAGGCAATAATTTACCTTGGTTTTCGAATCAGTAACAGGCAGCAGAATATTACGCTTTTACGTCTCAAAAATATGCAGACTATAAAAAAGTGCCAGTACGTCAGACTCTGCGACATCTTCTTTTGCGTCTGAAGTAGCAGAAAGAAATGGAGAGCATTCGGTGGATGGCTGAGGGCAGTGCTGCCGCCCTGCGCTCTGACCTCCAGGCACGCTCCTGCCACCCGTAATTAGCCCTCCCAGCGGCAGGGAACCAAGGCTGCACATCCAGCGACTCCCTCTGCAACAGGGCCTGCTCCAGGCTACGGTCTGGGCTGGAGAAACACCTCGTGATCAGGCAGGGCTTCGTCCGACGCACACACGTGCTCCTAAGCACAGGCAGAGGGACGCCCCAAGGTCGGACGTGGCTCATCAGCGTCACAGGCACGCAGAGCGATCCTCACGCGTGGCTGCACTCCTGCGGGCGCTGCTCCTTCGCAACAACCACGCTGAGCGAAGGAGCCTGTCTCTGGGTTGGCCTACACTGGGATATGGGAAAGCTCCAGGAGCCTTGACCATCAGACTGGTAAATACTATGTGGTACGGGAAAAAACCCAGTTAACTCAAAAAGGCCTAACATCTGACCAGAGATTAGCAACGGTGCAACGGGAAAACCGAAAAAGGCACGGCAAGTAACAGTTACATCGATTCCTTGGTAAGTTTTGCTTCCCCTGCTCCCCATTTTGTTAGTGCAACATGAACTTATTTTGCTTGCTGCTGTTGGCCTCAATCATTTCTACATCCCTCTGCGTTCCCAGGAAAAGCCATGTGGAGGGTCCTCGTGTGGCTGAGACGGGGTTGTTGTCTCCGCTGGCTACCCGAGGTGCTGCCCTAAGCCAGTCAACCCCAACACGCAGCGCTGCATCGGCATGGGAGGCCAATACCCGCCGGTGCCATCGGCGTTTCCAGCTGACGTGGCCCACCTCAGCCACCCCACCAGGGCCAGAAGGCAGCCCCCTCCTTGGACCCGCCAGAAACACGGCTTGAGGGTTTTAGGCACGTCTGTGGCTGGCAGCCCAACTACTCCATGCCCTGGCAAAGCCATGCGATCACTGAGCGATGGGGGAAATCACCAAAAACGGGCTGCAGGTGGATTACTGACAGCGGAATGACGTGAGCCTACAGGGCCAGAAAAGGCTGCCCTCGGTTCTGAGTGCCGCGGGTCGGGAGACACAGACACACTGGCGGAGGTTTAAAGCTGAATAGCAATAAGGAGTAAATAGTTTGGGAAATAAAACCTCAGAGAAGAGGTAAAGATAGCTCGGCAGGTTTAATGCGAAGGAAGAAGGGAGAAGAGATAGCCAGGTTAGATTTGGTAATCGTCTTTGGATGGTTCGGGAATTGTCCAAGCCCTTGCAGCTCACGGGAGGACTGATCGTATGAGCCTGCGGAGACTATTTCCAACACAGGGATTCTACTGCAACAGCCTGGATCCTGTTGTAGAAAGCACGGTAAAATCACCCGGAGGGAGGCTCCTACAGGGGCCGATCATTTAACTCTTTGGCTCTAGGAATGGGGCGCCTCCCCCACTGCAACGCCGGGCGTTTACGGCTGCTGTGCTGCTGTGCTGTGGGGACGAGGCTCAGCTGAAGCTTCTGCTGCGGCCAATAAAACACGAAACACCACCACGGGCAACAGGGGGAAACGCACACGGACGGGAAGCACAGTGTTCAAACGAAGGCAGCTGACGCACGAGACAGCTATCACCGTCATTTTCTAATTAAAAGCACAAGGAATATTTTAAGAGATGTGCATTCAGAAATCATGAAAACAGTTTTTCATTTCCCAGTCACTCTGTGTGTCTCCTCTACGCAGTAACGAGAGGCAAACAAAGGCGATTCCACGGTAGCCGTAGGAATGGCCCGCCTGGTGACGAAGGGTATGGCTCGTTATCACGGCCTCATCAAATGGGTCAAGCATTTGTTAATATCCCTATTCCTTGTTAACAGGTATTCCATGAATAATGGGATATTCACAACAGCTACAGAAAGACACAACACCTCTACACGTACTCTACAGATAAAGTGCTGGGCAGAACAACGAGCGGATCTCAGGGTTCAGACCGTGAGTGAGGGATATGCAAATGAAGAGGTTGCCTGTAAGTCAGAGAGAATATTCGCGTCCTTCATTATGCCCATGGAGTTCATTATTTTGATGAGACAGCGAAGCATCAGTTGAAAACGTAATGCCTGCACTCTGGCTTTGCACGCTCACAACAAATGACGACGTAGGGCACACTTACAAACGACACGGCCACGCAGCGCACTCCGCGGCGTTCGGAGACCCCCCTGGAGGACGTGGGCAGGGGCCTTGAAAGCGTTGCTTGCCCTCAGCTGATCCGCCCGGGCAGCCTCTCTGGCAGTTCAGGCTATCAGCGAGGGAAACAAGGCTCGAGCAAACGCGTGCTTTGCAGGCAGCCATCCGAACGGCCGTGCTCATCCGCCTGACCCCGCTCAGAAGGGACGCCACGTCACTTTGTATGCCGGCAGCGAGGGTCGCAGAAGCGTATTTACTGTTTGCTTTGTATGGTTACGTTCACGTGACTGACGCGTCTGTTGTCGTCAGCGACGCTGCCTCACCAGCCAGCTGATGGGTACACTTCACAGATATTCCAGATTCATACAGCGCAATGTTTTCACAACACAGAGCACTACGGAATCACCGTATGAATCCCAGGATTCCTACCTCTCTTGTGGTTTGCAACTTGAACAGAAGGAACAGTTGGCATAGCTAATTTGGGAGCAACTGGATAGGCAATAAAATGAACAGTAAATTAGAAAAGGTATCACATAGGAACAAATCAAAAGATCAAAATAAACTTCTCCATTTTCTATCTTTTAAATTAACTTCAACAACAGTCATTGTGTTGTCGGGAGAGGGTGGAAGTCAGGGAGGAGGGGGTGTATGCGGTCAGCTACGGAGTCACCTGAGCTGTACCATCCGAGACAGAGAAGGGGACGGGAATTCACAGCTGGGCACTTGGCAGTTTCGCGTTAGAGGCTATTTGATGGTTTCCCCCAAACCAGTGACTACCTGGTAACCAGTACGGTCTGCACAGGGTTTGATTGTGCATGTTTATTCTGGCCTAATAGCACAAGCAAAGCAAAGACAATCAAATAGGTAAGTAGAGGCAGATTTCTGTAATTATTCTCTCCGTAGACTACCCCTGACTGAAGTGTTTATCTGCAATGCATGTTAAACACTGCAACACCACACTGCAAACACATCATCGGAACAGAAATGCTTCCAAGTGTTTGTGTTTTGTGCTCCGTAACAAAATGTCAACACTGAATTTACTAAAGCTCTCATTTTTGGGGAAGAAACACTGAATAATTTTGTGCTGTTCAAGACGTATTTTGCAATGGAGTTAAGTCTCAGATCACAAGCAGCATAATTAAGCCATGAAATCCATTAGAAATGCTAAGCATCTTTTCACTGGGAATGTTTTGATTTGCAATTCCTGTGAATGACGAGGGTTAATCCTTTACAGAGAGCGAAGGAGCAGAGATCAGCCTGGTTTGGGTTTCTTTGTTTGTTTGTTTAAGGAACACATGCAAAAGCTTGGAAAATGTAACGTGGGCGAAACGAAGTTACTGGAATGCCAAGTCTCACTTCATCAGGGGTATTGAATTTAAAATAGATGTGAGTAGCACAAAGCGAAGCCCAGCGCCAGCCCTTACGGCGCGCGCCGGCCAGCTGGCCTTCGCTGGGCACACGGCGACTTGCACGCGTGACACGGCAGAGCTTATACCTGCGTGCGTGCGTCCTGATGTGCTCGCTGTGCTCAGTGGATTTAACTCCAGCCCGTCCAACTAACTCCCGCCGAGTCCCAACACACCTTGTTCAGCTTAGTAGCTGTTTTCTAGACCACCTTTCCATTCATTTTGCTCTCCATCTGCACGCGTTATGGCCCCGAAAGGGCACCCTTTGGCCAGGCAAAGCCACCGGCCAGGCTTACGCAGGAGCAAAGGGCAGTAAGTAAGGAGGACAAAAGGACATTATTTCTTTATAGAGAACCATCACTTTGAAATGTGAAGTGTAGCTGAATACAACTTCAAGTAACAAGGAATCTTACTTTTATTGGTCACCTTAAAAAGTCATTTTGACTCTTTTGGTGCTAAGCACCACAGCCTGCGAGCAGTTTTTTGTGTGGCTCGAATTGCAGAAAGCTGTGGTCTATCCTGCACTGAACGTGCTTGCGTTGCGGGCGGCACGCACGCCGAGACGGCCCCTCCGCTCACTTGGGGAAATACAGTGGGAACAAGGCGTTAAAACCGGGTCTGATGGAGACAACGAGGACCTTGCTCGCTCCAGAGTCTCGAAACCCGCTCAGAATACAGGCTGCTGTCCCAAGGAGCCCAGCATCACCTGGGGCGTCCTGCGGATCGGCACTTACAACCTGCGCGTCTGCTTCTGCAGGCGTTTTGCAGGGATGATGGGCGTCATCCGAGTGTCGGAAGGCTTTGCAGGTAAGCTTTGCTTTGTGGTTCTTTTCTCACAGAATAGTGTTACTTGGCACCAGAAGAAAAAATAAGTTGGGTTATCGTTGTTACTACTTCTGCCACCATGTGGGACTCCTTGACAGCAATTTCAGTAATTTTAGACCGCTAGGAATTTTACAGCATCCTACCTTGGTTTGGTTTAGAAACCTCAAGGGAAGAAATATTCGGCCATATCCTATCAAACTTTGGAGGAGCTGCATGCATCAGGAAAAATCAGGTTTTGTTATTTACAGCTGTGATATTGTTCTAGACAGGCAAGCACACGGACAGAGACACAGACACAAACACCCATGGCGGGACTAGTCTAGGTTGCACTGGAACAGCACACGACTCCACAGCGAACAAGAAAACAAGCAATTGATGATTCCCAAAACACCAAGCAGACATAAAATACTGGGCATAACAATTTATCTGCCGTGGTTTAAAAGACAATGTTCCTTGAGGAGAAGATATCCTAGACCAGTGTGTGTGAGTCTACCACCAGGAACACAACCTTCTGTTAAAATGCCGTTACATCTCCTCGGCAGAGGTGAAATGACAGTACCAGACACATACGGGTTTCTTACCAAAGGACACATCGCACCATAACACAGCATCCTGGTTTGGGCCTTTGGAGTGCATCATGTCTGTGTTACCAGCAGGACTTTACCGGAGGAGCAGACCTTTG